CCAGATACTTACTGAGGTGATCTTCGGGGTTGAGAAGACCAGAGTAAATTTTATTTTTAAATATGTGAGACATAAACAGTTTTTGGTTTATTTTTGCATTTAAAACCTGCTTCAACCTTCTTCGTGTTATTATAGTTAAAGCTGTTATACTCAGGATGATGCTTTCACCACCTGTAGAATGAGTGTGATGCATGATGATTTACCACCATGAGCTCCTGGTTTTGTGCACTCAGATCCAACAAGCCTATCTGGAGTTGAACTGCTCACATGAAGAACAGAAGAATTCAATGGCTGCAGTCAGCTCTGCATCCAAGGAAAAGACCGTCAGAAGCGTGTTTGTGCAGTTTGTTGATTAGATCTCAGTCAGAACACCACAGCGCTGCAGGCTGAATTAGATTTGTGAAGAATGCTTAATGCTCTGTCAGTTTTTCATTTTCTCTTCACTTAGCCTCACTGTGCTGTTTCAGCGGTAACTGATGTCTCACATTTATAAAGAACAACTGGCTCACCCCCTTCTCCTTTGGAAGATTGAACATCACCTTTGTCTCACTCATTCACACCACCCCTCCCAGTTCATGTTGACTGGGTGTCTCCTCAGACGTGAAGGGACACTCCAGGTTGATCAGAGAGCTCCCAAAACAAAAGAAAAGAGCTAAAATGATGCTGATCTAATGCTTGAAAGTTAATGCTTAGAACAAATTTATCAATCCGTTTACGTTCCACTTGGTTCTTAGTCATATTTGGTTGCTCTGAAAAAGCAGCCGCTCGTGACTGAAATGCCACACAAGCCCTGAAGACATGCTGACGAGCTAATTACCAAGTAGGCCTGCCACACACAGGCAGAAAATTTAAAAATAAAGTTCACACCGCTCTCATTATGTAAACAATCAGTTCGTGGTGCTAACCTCACACTCCAATAGACTACAGCTGGCGGACTGTAACACAAGAGGGTCACACTCTCAGTGTGAGACTAAAGGGGTTTGAGGGTTGAGAAAGCCGTGAAGTGTGTTTGTGTCACCACGTGCTCGTGCATTGCATTTTAGCTACAACCAGAAAATATGGCAGGAACAATGTGTTGCAGCCAACAGCTTTGTTAGCTGGTTACCATCGCTGCCAAAAAAATCCCTCATACTCATCATGTCACTTAGAAATATCAGTTCATGTGTTCAAAATCACACCGACACCAACTGTCAAAGACAACGCTTCAGCTTGTGGTTTAGTCAAAAGATGTCAACCATAACACCACTCTCCATGAATACAGCAGAAATGGGGTGGGTGGGGAGGCACACACACACACACAAACACACACACACACACACACACACACAGGCTCGACTCTTCGCAAACGCAGCACACTGAGGTGTAATCGATGGAGCTCATTCATATGCAGCTCCAGACTTCGGGGGAAACCGGGGGAATTACAAGCAGCCTCTGCTCTGAGATCTCAGCCTGCTGAAAGCCTGAGGACGACTGAGAAGGTGTCACCGTGGAAACCTGCTGTTTACTGTCCTCAGCACCGGTACTGGGTCTGCTCACTCCAACACAAGCCCCACCGTAAGTAAAAGTTACCACAGTGGGTTGGATTTGTTCTACCGAGCAGGAACAAGAGTGTGTACTAAAAAAATGGTTACATATTTAGGACAATGAATGATAAATTAGCCACATATGAAGATATTCATCACACAATTAGCAAATATAACCAAGCGCTGGAGAAAAAGATCAGATGTAGGCTTTTATCTTTAATGTAATAATTTGATTATTTAACATTTTAAATAACTAAGGATCCTTTTTTCCAAACACTTAACGCAGACACACATCTACTTAACCAAGTGGCCTACTGGTAAATTTTTTCTCTTAGCTTGATTTAAGCAAACACTTCATTTCTAAATAAAATACACCTATGTCTGCCCATACTGCAAATCAGACTGAAATGATTCTGTCAAACAGTTGTTCATGTGTTCAGTCAAAATGCACCAGGTTTCATAAAACTGGCAACTGTTGACCTCTTTAACCCTCCTGCATTCCTAATGGGGTCAGATGGACCCCAGGTGTTTTACTTTTTTTTTTTTTTTTTTTGAGGAGTGAGTGCCGCCTCACCCCTGCCACATGGACAACAACGGATAAACCATCAATCCTGCTCAACCACAGTGGGAGGGTAACCCCTTCTTTCCACCGGAGCCGTCAGCAGCACGTTACTGCAGCAGCACGTCTTGCTTGCGTAAAGGTTGGTTTATGCTTGACGCGTCCGCACGGCTCCGCGCGGCGAAATTGCATCATTTTAACAACCACGCCCCTCCACCGCGTCTCCGCACGGCCCAAAATTTCCGCAACGCGCACCTAGAAAATAGAACTGGCGCGTAACCCCTTCTTTCCACAGGAGCCGTCAGCAGTACGTTACTGCAGCAGCACGTCATAGCTGCTGATAGGAACCGCTGTGGTCAGCAGAACCTTTTCCACCGGAGCCATCAGCAGCGCGAGTCGGCGGCATCTCAGGAGCAGCATGTCGTGGCCCTTACGCGCCGGTTCTATTTTCTACGCGTGACGCCTCTGAAACGGGTCAAGTTCGACATTTTTGGGGAAGGAAAGACAGGAAATCGGACGCGGCAAACAGAGCGAAGCTCCCGAGATTTTCAGAATAAAGAAACGTACTGCCTTCCGGTTGCTTTACTTTAAAAAAAAGTTACTAACTGTGCGGCCCCGTGAGAAGTTATCACCTAGCTAGCGGTCTCCTTTGTTTTTCAGGTCCGTATTGGCGATTATAAAACGGACAGAACATAAAACACAAACCTTTGGAGTCATGTTGTAGTTTTCTCCTGCTTGTTGTTGTGTTTACTGACGAAGTCACTCGTGTGACTTTGTGCTCGGTCGGTGACAGCTGCTCCCCTGCTGCTTCGCATCTTGTGGGAAGGGCCAAGCAGCAGCTTACGCGAGCAAGACGTGCTGCTGCAGTAACGAGCTTCTGACGGCTCCGGTGGAAAGAAGGGGTAAAGGTTGGTTTATGCTTGACGCGTCTGCAAGGTCCGCACGGCTCCGCGCGGCGAAATTGCGTCATTTTAACAACCATGCCCCTCCGCCGCGCCTCCGCACGGCCCAAAATTTCCACAACGCGCACCTAGGAAAATTTCTAACCACGCAGATGGTCGGACGCGGACCGGCAAGAACTAGTATGGCAGAATTTCGTAAATACAGACATTTGTATGATTCAGCTCTCAGAGATCACCGTGATCAACAAGTTGTTAATAATTCTTGGAGAGAAATAGCTCGCACTGTCGGAAAAGACGAGAACACTGTTAAAAAATGCTGGAATGCCATGTTGTAAACAGTCATTTCTACTTCTACTATGGTGTTTTGTTGGATGCATGCCGTAGAGCTCCATGCTGCCCCGTTCGGTTAGGGAGAATATTTGCTCACCGCAGAGATGAGCCGCATGAACCATAAACGCTGCGAGTTGTGAAGCGCGTTCCATCCGCGAGCCGTATCACCAAGCGGAAAGTGAATGTGTCAAGCATAAACCAAGCGTAAGGGCCGCGACATGCTGCTCCTGAGATGCGGCTGACTCGCGCTGCTGACGGCTGCTGACGGCTCCGGTGGAAAAGGTTCTGTTGACCACAGCGGTTCCTATCAGCAGCTATGACGTGCTGCTGCAGTAACGTGCTGCTGACGGCTCCGGTGGAAAGAAGGGGTTAAACTACTACTACAGGCACGCCATCCAAAATTCAACTCAGCCTTTATTTCTGTAACAGACATGAATTATGCCACCAAAGTGCAGGACAGGAATAAAACAGATAAAACCAGCAAAGAAAAGTACAGATCACAAGGTAAAATAATTTCAAATAACAGCAACAGTTTGAGTTAGGACCCAGATCAGAAATAGAAGCCACAGGTGTGGAGCTGCTAAACCACGCAACCCTCCGTGCCTTCTCTGTCCACATCTAATGCTCACATTCTGAATCACTCCAGGAAAAAAACTAAGCAGTTCATTTTTTTCCCTTTACTGTAAACAAGTTTTACTTTATTGCTTACAGTGACCAAAATAATCGTGACAATACAAGAGCAGACACACCAAATCCACAAAAACAGCAGCAAAGAAGATCAGATGAAAGGGGGGTACTTATAAAAAGAGAAAACACAAAAGGATCTAATCTGGGTGACCTTTGGGGTTAGGCAACATGTTTTCATCAACATCACATGTGATGTCATTCAAGGTGATTCACCTTCAGCACCTGCCTCTGAAATCCAATCAGGTATCAGCTGTGGTCCACCCACTTTACTCTGCATACATCAGCTGTGTGTCACTTACTTGTTGATGTGTTGTTTCTGACCTGTTATTATTATAGAAGTATACGTTTTATGCTAAAGTTTGTATTTTACTGTGTTAAAACAGTAAATAAGACAAAATCGATGCATAATATTGGTGAACAGCTTGTCTGTTAGGAACATCTAATCTGTGTGGTAATGTGTTGACTGACATCACATTGTGTGAAACGACCTGAAACGTGTGAATGCTACGCCAAAACACACTGATGCACTAAGACGTTCGTAAATGTGACTCTTGTTTGGACAAACGCTTGTTAGCCCTGATGATGATTACCTATCAGCGTCCTTTGTTTCTGATTCCCTTACAAACAAAAGGAGATCACAGATAAGGTAGCGCGACTCGGGTTGCGAATGACCACAGTCACCAATTCTTCTGAATTGTGTGTACTGAAACTCTAATTTCCCTCTGGGATTAATAAAGTATTGATTGATTGATTGATTGATTGATTGATTGATTGATTGATTGATTGAAAACATACCAAAATAAAAACACAACTCTGGCCTCAGTTAATCCCAATTAGGATTCTATGAACACAAACTAAAGTGAGCAGTGCTTTAATCCAGTAACTAGGGATGAAATTAGTTCATAATCCAAAGCAGTGAGAAGAACATTGAATGTCTCTACAGCACGCTTTGGACTCCCAGTGGCACATGCAGCACCAACAAGCTTTTATGAACCTCACCAGTAGCTTCTGGTGGAGCCTTTGCTGGTTCAGAATGTCTGGGTGGAGTTGTTCAGCTCTGCTAGTGTCCTCTAGAAAACAGTAGTTCACACAGTGGAGGGGCAGGACTTCATTCCTCAGCTGCAAAACAGAAAAAACCAACATCACCAACCTGCAGATACGTAAAACCCAACAACGTGTCAAACGAATCACAGAACTTCAGGAACCAAATCTTGAAAACTGTAAAATGTTGTTATTATGGTGTTTAAATAAGTAGCATGTGTAAAACCAAAACAAACAACACCCCATAAGATGTGATTCTGTGTGATCGTTATAACCACATTTAGGTTTAACACACTTTTGTTTAGCAGCAAGTGAAAAACACTTGAACTCATTCAGCCGGATACTTACAGACCCACAAGATGCCAGCAAGCTAAAATAACATCCATGTTCAACCACTCAGCAGGCAACCTTGATAGCACTACCAAAACCGCTAGTATTGCCAAGCTAGGGAAGCCGGTTGGAAATAATAATGCCCACTGTTTAATTATTCATGGCTCCAGTCAGGTGGAACCAGAGGCAGCTTTGTGTCATAGAGGCACATCCGTAACTCAGCTAAAGCATAAAGGACTATCATGGAAGGGAAGACTTCGTCCCACTGACCTGGAAGCTGCTGAGCCACGGTGGTCCACACAGGCACACGGCCTGAGGTGGTGCTAGCTGTCCACCGTCCAGAGCTGGTGCAGCTCAGGATCATTTGTACCCCACGTTGAAAGCTGTGCACGACACAATCTGACCTTTTCTCTCCGTGCCATGTTTTAGTGCTGAATGCTAATGCTACGTTGCTTTGTGTCCGCCACTCATGGGAACAACCATGCTATTTTTGGACACTTGTCCCCAGCTGCACATCTCCAACCCGAGGCCAACAAGCAATTAGTGTTTGTTTCTCACAGCAGTCGACACTAGAACCTCTGTAACCATAGAAGACCTCTGGAAACAGGCCTGAGTCTCACCCCCGTCACAAAACACCACCCTGGAGGAAGTCCCACCATCTTCCACCTGCACCACCTGTACTCCTCTTCATCTGCTGGTATGCACGTGATAAACTAGATAAGTGGATCTTTCTCATTAGTTAAGATATGAATTTTACTTAAATCTTAAAAAGAAGATTCATTTAGTGTGAGATGGTCTAAATTTATATGATTAATCATGTATTTATTATTATTTTAATTTTTGAACAACACTGACCCACAAGACCCACAAGTCCGTCAGCTTCCTGATACTGGATATCTTGAACTGAACCTGAAGTTACCTCGCTAAGCTTCTAATCCTGCATGAAAAGGAGGCAACAGATCCAAGAATAAGCCTTCTGAACCAACAAACAGTTGCTATCTTCCTTGGTTCCTCGTTCTGTGGAGCCAGATTGTTGCTGTGCCGCAAACTCTCACTTGATTAGAAACAATTACACAAACATGGTGCTCCAGAGCCCATTAGAATCACATTATTCATTCCCAGCAGGAACTGATTGGTACAGTGTGACTATGTTGATGCCTGTCAATACTATGACGTCATAAATTTACCTCCAGCAAGGTAAGCAGAGATTAACGTGTTTACATTAAGGCATGAACATCGGTTCTTGTGTCCAAAAAACAGGTGCAGACAGCCCAGGGTCGTGCTTTGATACCGGCTCTTAACTTGTAAGCTGTGCAAATCAGAAGATTGTCCGGGTGTGAACGGAAAACCGGATTTTAGTGGGTTACCCTACTGAGTGCAAACATTGAAATGACCAGAGCATAAGCAGTCAGCACAACCCAGAGTGTGAACAGAGGCAGACACAGAGACTGAGATTAAACCTGCAGAGATAAGCTGTTTCATCACAAAACAAATCCTGACAAATATTCATCATAGCATGTGGATTCTGGCCGGTTTCATCCCGAACCCCACCCTCAGGTGTGATGGTTCACCTATCAGAACAAATCCCAGAGCTCACCGAGCTAACCTCAGAGAGATCTGTTGAAAACCATTAAGACCAAGTTGTGTTAGGCAAGAGCAGCCAGGAAGTTAAAATGAGTTTGTGTACTTCTCAACTAAATTTCTAGAACGGTGGATGCTCAGATTTATGATAACATGAGGTCACATATTTAAAAATAAAGAAGTACACCATAATCTGATTTTGCATTCTTTAATTTAAAAAATCACACATTGTGTGATTTGCCCATGAGGAACATCCCCTGGACAAGTTAGGACACCCCTGGTCTAAAGTGAACAGCAACAGTCTGTTCTCATAGTCCTAACACTTGTTTCATCCTAACACTTAAAGGAGCCTTGCTGCCAATCTTAATAGTAAAATGAAGAAATTTTTAACCCTTACATTGCATTAATGCATTTTTCTGTGCTGACACGTGTGTTTTTGTGAATAACTTTGGCTATGTTAATGCAATTTATCTAATTTTTATGGAGGTTGTGTATTTTGGAAGGAATTACAAAAAAAGATTTGAAAAAATATTCAACTCCCTTTATTATAATGTGTAAAATTTTGTACAGTTAAGCATCTTTCAGCATTTGTTGTGCCATTGACGTTCATGTAAATCATATTTTTCTAATTAGCATAAATATTAGCACAATAAAAAAAAATTATTATTGTGTCTGTGTTCACAGGCCTCTCACAAATTTAATATGCAATTTTTACCGTTTTCCACTGGATGGCGGACTTCTCCATATATATAGCAGGGCAATGACTGACACAGCATTTAAATTAAATGATTCTGCTGTATTTCTTTACCTCTGACTGCCCATTATAATACGTTTTGCAAAAAAAAAGGTTTGTGTGTTATTTAGAGATGCCATACAATAGTTTGCATGTGTGTGTTCAGAATTTTTGGTAATTGTGCTTTTACGTTGTAACTTCAGAAAATAAACCTTTACTGAATCTACAAAATTTGCTCATTCTGCAAAATAGCTTTTTGACATGTGTCACTCTGTGTGTGCTTGTGCAGGCATGCATGCATGTAGGTATCAAAACACTTTACAGATCTTCAAAAGACATATCTGTGACCGTTATCTTGAGTGGTTGAGATGGGGGGGGGGGGGGGGGGGGGGGTCATGTACTCTGTTGAACTTATGAATATTCATGAAAGGCATGCTAAACATAAAACAAAGGATTTCCTGCAAAATTTCAGATACTCACTCACAATTTTACTTTTGCAAATTGTTATTTCAACAGATACAAAGTATTTGCATCGATGAAAGTTAGGGTTGAAGGCTGAAAAACTTCAAAGGCGTACATTTGTTTTGCAGAACAAATTCCTGCAGAGCCCAGTTTGTTTACATAGAGTTGGTGTCAGTTTACACAGGTGCAAAAATTGACTAAAATTACAGATATGAGAGTCAGATCTGGATTAATTTCTTTCTGCCGCAAGCATGAGAAGAAGTTTGAACGCAGATTCCACCGTTGTGAGATAACCCGCTTCGCGGTTAGCAGGGCTGGACTGGGACAAAAATTCAGCCCGGGCATTTTGACTGGAGACCGGCCCATCACCTGTTTTTTTTTGGAAAAGACATTAAGCCTTACGCTGTTTCTGACACACACCAACGTACACTTTCTTATTGGTAGTATTTATGTATCAATCTAATAAACGTAAACCTACACCATCCTTCCTATCCTGGTATTCTAAAAAGTAGGGTTGGGGGTAACTGATTATTTTTAAAATGATTATTCTGACGATTATTTTATCGAATAGTCGCTAGCGATTACTTTTCTATTGCACAATTAATAAAAACCAAAAAATTCTAAATAAATTCCTCCAAAAAATTGATAAGTTGTTACTGTAAGAGAATAAACACTACAGGCCTTCCATTTTGTAAAACACTGCTTTTATTGTGTTGCGGTTGTTTATGTTCTGGTGACGTGTAGAACTTGGGAGTGCAGGCTGCTGCCTGAGAGGTGGTTGGAGACGGAGTGTCTCCATGCTGCTTTGTTTTGTTCACTTATGTGCATGAGGCAAGTGGTGTTACGACCCTTCCTGGGGAGTCACGTGTTTCTCCTATTTTAACTGTAAATCCTTCTAGCTGTTATATTTATAACAAGAAACAGATATTCGGACAGAATATTTTCACGTTTATTCAAATATCATTGTGGAACACACCCAGCATCATAATAAATGAAGTAATATTTATGCCAATTTAAGCCTTTATGGGTGACCAGGACTCTGTGTTTATGAATGTGGAAGACACCCAGCATCCTGTGATGGCACTAATAACATCAAGAGATAATAAATAAGGTAATATTTAGGTCAATTTAACCCTTTACACGTGACCAGGACACTGTAATCAATTTTTGGCAAGGGAAATGATCATTTGTTGCCATTTTTTAGGTGTTTATGAATGTGAAAGACAACCGGCATCCTGTGATGGCACTAATAACATCAAGAGATAATAAATAAAGTAATATTTAGGTAAATGTAACCCTTTACAGGTGACCAGGACACTGTAATCAATTTTTGGCAAGGGAAATTATCTTCTTTTCTTTTTCTTTTTTTTTTTTTTTTTTTTGCCATTTTTGGGGTGTTTTGATGACACAGTAGGCAGTATGAGTACAGTAACATCAACAGATAATACATAAAACCCTTATTTGGTCAATTTTAGCCTCTATGAAAATCTTAGCGATTCAATCACTTTTTGGCAAGTAAAATGCCATTTTAGTTGTCTACAATTAAATCATCAATAAAGAATTTAAAGATATTTTGAGGCATTTCTTATAGGTAAACGGGAGGGTGTAGTCTATTTGGCAAGTGACAATCTTAATTTTATGTGCTGAAGTGCTTTTATCTTGTTACTTTTAAATAGAGCAAAGTAATGTATAGATAGTAACCTACACAGTGTCATTGTAAAGCCAAAGCTTGATCATTTTAAATACTTTTTTTCAAGTAAAAATGTGCCCCAAACTAGTTAACTGTGGCTCCATGTCAAGTGGACTAAAGAAAGGAAGGGGAAAAAATTAAATCGCTGGAGAATTGTTTAATTCCATTTATACAACGTTTACATTCAATACAGGGTGCCATTTTACATTGTTTATTTTTTTAGTATCAAGGCTGTAACATAAAGAAAGCCAGTTCTTACCACAAAGTTTGTGGCACAAACCA